AGGAATCAATGTTAGAACAAATCTGCTGTTATAATAGATAACACAAGAATACAATTGATCAGAAAGTGTGTTGTGTTAGCGAAATCAACTGAAAGAGTCCTGGTTGATTGAACTTGGCTGAGTCACAGAGAGATATGTATATATGTATTACAAAATTCTGTGTCTGTGTGTGCGTTTGAAATGTTGTGAGTAAATTCATAGGTTTGTGTTGACAGGCGAAATTTGCTGGAATCTACTGGCGGCTCCTGACAAAGTCATTTCTTTTTAAAGCTACAGGTAGACTCCCAGCGAAAACGCGGGAAAAGTTGATTTTGCACTAAAATATGTGATTGGTTAAAATTTGACCAATCGCTAAATTTGTACAAACGAAACAAGTAAGCAAGTTCAAAACCGAAAATTTCAAAGCAACGACTGCGATGGCTAAATTGTCCTATAGAAAGGCAATATTGATTTATTAGCCAATCGCAGACGAATAAAATGTGGGCGTGGAAAAACATAGCAGTCGCTACAGTCTCTACTATGTGCCGGATTCATTGAGTGGCTACCTAGGAATGTTCAAAAGATATCCGCAATTAAGGTCTGTTTATTGGGTATTATTGCAGGGAAATTAGTGCTTTCGGCAAAATGATCCATTCATACTGAATCGATCTAAATATGTTGGTAGAATATTCTTCTCATATTGTTTGAATCTAACGATTTAACCTTTATCAAAATCACTGAAATGTTTGTCTGGCTCATAATTGCAGTATTTTGCACTCTGGTAGGTAACTGAATTATAAAATGGAAAAAATCACTTCGCGCTTTGTTTTTTGAAAGGACTTCTTCTGACCTAAAGAGGAAACGTTTTAGTTACTTCCACCATATTCTTTCTCAACTACCCACACTTAACCTAATATAGAGCGTTTATATAGCATTCAGTACATCACAAAGAATTCCTTGGCCAACTTACTTACACACACACACACACACATATATATATATATATATATATATATATATATATATATAGCCGTATTTGTTGTGAGACTGTAGTTATCGTTCTTAACACATATAGAGTTTAATCTGTAGCTGAATGGTAAAAAGGTATGCATTTAACACAACAATGTACTTCATTCAGCGGTAAATATTAATTACAGATCTGCAGTGGATATTTCAGATCAAAATTCAGCTATGTGTCAGGCTACAAACTTATTGATCCACCACATATATTCTCCCGAAGTATATAATGACTAAATATCAAAACCATTTTTAATAATCCGAAGAGTATGTGAATAAATATTAAAATTTCCACAAGAAATATTAGTTATCAGCTTCTGTCCTCGAAATATATTTTTGCCTCAGTTCTTTTACCGTCTCTTATGTACGTTAATTGACTACAGGGGGCGCCGTCATTTTGTTGTGCTAGGCCACATCATTTTAATTATTTGTTGGCATTGACAAGTTGAAAGGGGAAGTAACAGGGCTTAGTTATTTTTGTGATGTCAACAAAAATTTGTTGTCACTTTCGTAATGTACGTTGTGGTAGAGACTTTGTAATCACAGATATAACTATAGTACGCCGTTGAACAATACTGGTGTCAGACGCCTTCGAATAGCACTCGCACTAATAGTACTTGCTCGATAATACTTGCTCGTATAGTGATCCGAATAAAGAAATAGTATAGTGAATAGAGTAGAGAATAGCGGTCCGTATAGTAATAGAGGATAGACTAGAAATAGTGATCCGAATAGTAATAGAGGATAGAATAGAAATAACGATAAATGACTTCGCGTGACTTCCCATATATGCGTTTCCTCTATGGTCACGTGGTCTACTTAATTCAATAATGAGATCGCCTGTGTTTACTCACTGGCGATCTATGTTCAAATTCAAGTGTCGGCAACAACACTTTATTTCTATATAAGACCTCTCCTTTGAGATGACTTCCTCTAGAGTTTATATTTCTTCAGCTTTGGTCCGATATTCAAATGTTTTGTTGCTGTTCGATTTTTTTTTTTTTTTTTTACTGTACCTCCTTGGCTCACTAATTTCTGGTGGTGTGTGTACATAAAACATGTCATACTATATTTGTATCGGTACGTCTTTTCGTGGACTTACTAAATCAGTGAATATCAGTTTTAACTGATTAAGGTGTCGCTTATGTTCCCATCTTTGTTCCTGTGCCATGTCAGTCTTTTTGCCGATCCGTTTTCTTATAACGCCATCTTCCCAGGTTTGGTGTTACTCTGTAAACACTCAAAATTGTTGTAGCATTATTTTAATATTTCTGGTCATTTCGTGTAAATATCGACTACCATTAGATAATATGCTTCGTTTAATGGTCCTGTGATGTCTATATGTATTCTGGACTATGGCATATAGGTTTTCGGCCAAGGTTTAATTTTGATAGGCGGTGACTTCACTGCCAGAGCACAACCTCTGCATGATTTCACTAAATTTTCAATATCTTGATCCATTTTTCACCAATAAGTATAACACCTCATTAAAGATTTCATTCTAGAAATTCCTGGAAGTCCTATGTGAAATTCTTTTAGCATACATTTTTGTAACGATGCTGGTATAACAATTCTTTCATGGCACATAAGTCCATCATTGCATAATGAAAATACATTATTTGCAGTAATATTTTCCTTTAAATCTTAATTGCTTCATTTTCATTATAAAGTCATCTTTTTCCGACTTAATTTTCTTATTTTCTCCAATGTTATGGGCCGTTCTCTTACACTCTTGTATAATACGTTATTAATTTCATTTTCGGCCCTCATCGCCGCAATTACTGTGTCTTCAAGTGGCTCGTAGAATTTTAGTATTAGTCTAGACGATCCGTCTGCATGACGTAAATTTTGGGATGATAGAAACTTTATAATTATAGTTCAATGGTGCTTTTAATCCATACATGTTTGGTATATATATATATATATATATATATATATATATATATATATATATATATATATATATATATATATATATATAGTAATTAGCAAGCCCTAAAAATACTTTTGTTAAATTGGTTGGAGCGGTCATGTCATTTATTGTGGTCGTCTATCGTTTTCATCGATAATTTGTCCACTCGCATTTTCCTTACCTAATTTTAAAAGCATATTCTATACAGAAAGGAAGTCGATTGATGTGTATAATCCTCTATGAGTGTTAATTGTTAATAATCTTGAGCAGTCTTTGTCTACTAGAAGTCGTAGATAATCGTCTGACAGTTCCCATTTAGAAAAAAATTACCTCCATTCAATTTGGCAAAAATTTACTCGAGTTGGGAACGGGTAGTTATGTTGTTTTAAACTTTCATTTGAAAAATCAGAACATTTGGAATAGTCTATTTTTGAAATCACATCTAATTTCTCTAGTCTGTCCAATTCACTATTAATTGGATCTAAGGCTGCAATAGGTACACTCCTTTTTGGCTTAAATGTCAATGTTACATTCTCTTTTAACGGAAACTTAGCTTTTGCTTTCGTGCATGTCTTTAGACCTTCTGAAAAAAACTTCTGGGAAACTTTTTTTTACTTCACTTTTCAATTGCTGTATTAGTACTGCTCGTAACAATATTTATCATGTTGCAAAAAGAATTAATTGGAAGGTTTTAAAGATCAAATAATGCAATGCAGTCTGCTTCAAACAAATTAGCAGTATTCTTTAATACACACACCACAGATTTTCCAGTTTTTCTAACAAAAACATTACAGCTGAATTCATTCAAAAAGTTCAATCTCCTCACCTGAGACTTCATACGCAACTTTATCAGAAGTCAATAAACTGGGTTTACCCATTTTTATCCATGTCTGTTCATTTATGATACTGACATCAGATCCTGTATCTAGTTGCAATTTTTTTTCACATCATTAATTTGCACGAAAATAAATTTCCTCTTTTGAGATATTTTGTTAATTTTCCTTTTAGGCTTCTCATCGTTACTCCATGTATTTATCATGTTCACATAATTTTTCTATTTTCTTCATGTTTTGTATCTGCAAAACGTACTTTTGTGTCCTAATCTAGCACATTCATAACATTTTTTGCTCTTGAAAAAACAATCACTTTTAAAATGCTTACCTCCACAGCCTCACTGGGGATATTTGTTCAAACTCAAGTGTCGACACTTTATTCCTATATAACAGTTATGATAATTAACTGTGGTGACAAATCCTTCCTCTTATTGTCTTCTTGTGCCAAGTGAATTATTCTAATTATTGCAATTAGTCTATCTATCTATCTATCTATCTATCTATCTATCTATGAGCGTTTATGACGAATTCCTTTGGAACTGTTTTGAAGCTGTGAAAGCCTAGCAAATAATTAAAATGTTCTTACGCAAATACACTGGCCGCATATGCTTAACTTCAGGCAAATGAAAATACTTCACATGCACTCACAAAGAAAGAAACATAAAGAAAGAAATATAAAAGCAAACCCCAGGCAGAAACCATTAAATACATGCCACCACCATCAACGATAGACCAGTTAAATATTCACATGCAAATATCAACAGACGTCGTTACACAGTTTTTGCTCATGAAATGTTTCCATACATCGACATTCTACCTTGATATTCTAGCATTTCTACGTTTTTTAAGGCTATTTCTCTTTACAATGTAGATGGTTTTGGCTCTCCACATCTTCTTTTCTGTGAATCCTTGGAAATGGTAGTAATGCGTTTTCCCGTTGCCTTCTTCATAGCTTTGAATTTAGAGTCATTGTTTTAGACTAATTAAGTCTAGAGAAATCTATCTACTGTACTATTTTACCCATAGCTGGTGAGAAAAGAATCAAATACAATGCCTTTCCTAATAGTGTTAGTACACTAACTGTCTCAGTTGGAATTTGAACTTGGCTCGATAATTCCATTTTCCGCGTGAATAGCCGTTACGCCGCTGGCAAATCCAATATAATTTCTGTACGATATTGAGAAAAAGAATATTTTTGACAGTTGACTTCAATGCAATAAACAAATCGCCTCGGGAGCAAAAAGATGGCGTCAAATTGATTAAGTTGAAAGGATCAAGAGCGAGTAGTTGAGCGAGATAGATAGATAGAGAAACACAGAGAGAGAGAGAGAGAGAGAGAGAAAGAAACATTTGCAATTTAGGATTTGTCTTCGTTAAAATTAGGATAGAATTAGAAAGTCATATGCAATAGAAAATGCTCCATATTGTGGATATAATAAGAACAGTCATATGAGTAAAGTTAAGCTGAAGAAGAATTGTAATAATAATAATAATAATAATAATAATAATAAGAAGAAGAAGAAGAAGAAGAAGAAGAAGAAAAAGAAGAAACCGAAGTTTATTAAGAATAAGAAAGAAAGGAATCTGCTATTTACAAAGAACATGATCAGAAGTTAAGAAGAATGAAAAATTGAAATGAAGAAAAAGAAAAGAAGTAACCTCATATGAAAAGGAAAGGAAGAAGCGTTATTTAAAATTGCATTAATGAAATTTGCAGGTAAAAATAACTCCCGATATTTGAGAAAATACATAAATAGAATTCAATATTCAAAAATAAAGATGAAGGCGTTAAAAATAAATGAATAAACAACAACAACAACAACAACAACAATAATAATAATAATAATAAGTTAACCCAATTAAATCCAGAAGATCAAATGGCATGAAAAAAGAAGAGAACGTCAGATAGTTAATGTATCTGTTCAGGCAAATCATTATTCTACTAATTGGCGTTCCGAATAATCTTGAATATTTTCGCCCAAAGAAAAGATGAGTCACAGATTAAAAATAGAAACGTTTAAAATATTAAGGTACCGTATTCAAAATCCCCGAACATATTGAGGTTAGTGTTGTCATACTATCAATAAAGAGTACTATGCCAACTTGCTGAGGCAGTTATGAAAGGCTATCAGGATCAAATGTCCAGGAAAATTGACGAAAGGTGTCTTGTTTCATCAGGACAATACTCCAGTATACAACTCCTTGATTTCAATGGCTGTGATGCGTGACTGTGGCACTGAACTGGCTGATTATCCACCCTGTTCTCTGGGAACCAATATTGCTGATGGTGACTTTTGACCAACAGAATGAATAGTCTTCTTTGAACAGTTAGTTTATCTGGAAAGATAAAGTTCATTTATTAATAAGAGATGAAATTAATCTATGTAAGATTTCACGGCTCTAGTATCACTCATCCATTGTTAGGCTATGAAATCTTCATTCCACCCTGGTAATTAAATATTGATGATGATGCTGGAATGGTAGTCAAATGAAATATAAGACAAGAACAACAACAAAAGCAACAGCAATTCTTCTCCTTCTCCTCAACCTATTGTTATTATTATTATTATTATTATTATTATTATTATTATTATTATTCAGATAGTGCTGAAATAAGGAGGTGACATGCTGTCACTTATTTTCAGATATACCATTCAGAATATTGGTGTGGACATGTAAATGTATAATAATAATAATAATAATGGATTCTGTTGATTGTAAAGTCAAAAAACTCGACAAATGCGCTAGTTATGAAACATTAAATATAATATTATGACAGCCAGATGTTGCAGCAAAACTGATAGAAATTAAATATAAAACCAAAAATCGAAAAACAGTATATAAATCTAAATCTGGTCATCAAACTCTCTCTCTCTCCCTTCTCTCTTTCTTTCTCACCCTCACCCTCTCTCTTTATATATATATATATATATATATCGATCTACTATTTGTTACTGAAAAGCTTACTACAATATTTGTTAACAGAATTGAAGTCATAAGATTTTTAGTACTGATTTTTATGTCTGTCAGAAATAGAGAAATGACGTTTTTAGAAATAAAATGGAATTGCAAAATGTCTGCTTCGAAAGTTATGAAATTTAACCATAAAAATTGTTTTAATAATCTTTCTCTATTTTTCTCAATGCATGAAAAAAATCATTTTAGCGAAAATTGTCGATGGAAAGTAAAAAGAATCAAAAATGAAAATCGAGGTGACATGCAGATCAGTCTTTTTCTACATGTCAGTGTTAATAGAAAATCTATCGTAATTCTTTGTGTTTGGTTTATTCTTCTTAGAATTCAAAGTGAATTCTTTATTACAAAATTAGGGAAAATTGTTAGTGACGTTGAGGACTGATTGTTTTTTTCGTGGATAAGAAATTCAACAGACGATTTTGTTTTATGACAGCGCCCATCGTTATAATACAAATAGAAAACAGCAAACGATTATGGGATGGAAATCTTTAGGCATGTTCCCTTTAGTAAACCATTGTTATCTCAGGAATTTCGATGACATCGAAATATCGAAAAATTCTCCAACCAAAACTGGAATATCGATGAAATAGACAATTTATCTGAAAGTTTTTATGAGATTTATCGAAAGATAGGAAAAAAATTAAGTTTGCAATAAAGTTTGTCTACTGTCCTCTGTGATGAGTTTGCGATTGAAATCAGTGAAGACATTTGTCAGTTCGCTTTCAGCATTGGTACGAAGTCAGTGTTCATAACAGAAGAACAAGTAAAGCTGGTAAATGACCACAAGTTTGGCAACATAGAAGAGAATAGACAATACGAAGTTTTTGTTAAGATTTGTTTTAATATTTTTCCTTATTTTAAAATAATTCTGACAGTAAATATTTGTTTTGCTTTTACCAATCTATCGTTAACAGTTTTGTCGAGTCTGGCATCACAGATCGATAAATTCGTTAACCTCAATCGTCCCAATCAGTACGGAAGGTGGACGGTACAGTTGGCGGCTTATAACTTGGTGGAAGATGACAGTCTTCTTTAGATTGATTTCCAAACCAAACACTTGAGTGGTCTTTACAAAACACGTACTTACTAATTGTCACACTGAATTGGATTGGCTAAATAGAGATGAGTCGTGTGGAAAGAAAAGATGCGATCACCGCCCACTTATATGCAAACTTAATCTAAAACAAGAAGGAAAGAAACGCAAATCAATTCCAACGATATAATACGATAGACTCCAGAGCAACTGAATTTGCAAACAACCATAGGCAGTTAAGAACAAATATAAAAATTTGTCATAAATGAAAATGAAAAATCATAATGGAAGCATGAATAATAATAACAAATCATTCTAAGGGGAGAAAACAGAATAGGATGAGAGTTGGAATTCTAAAATATTGCTGCCATATCTGGTCAGCAATGTATCTATGGGTTCTTGATAAAATCAAAAAATGCAACATTATCGGTCATGACCTGACATCTCAGCTTCATACACTTTCTCACCAACGTGACACAACTTCCTTGTGACTTTTCTATAAATATTCTCATGATAAGTGTTCTCTATGATACTTCTTTAAGCGCATTACTACATTGGCAACTAAGGTATCATCGTTATAATGTTAAAATTAAGTTTTATGCTGATAGTTTCTTCTCTAGCACTGTAAAACTCTCTTCCGGCCTCATGAATTCTACTCAACTTTGATCTGCAAAAATTAAAATGCAATGTCAATCGTCATTTTGAATTCCTCTTCTCTTATTGACTTTTCTCCTTAATAAAGTTTTTTTTTTCTTCTCCGATTCTTTCACTCGCAGTAACCCTTTGTGTCTTAGTGGCTTTATCAGCTTGTTTGGAATGAGATGATTAAAAAAGAATGAAAAGAGAAAGGGTAGATAGTCAAAAAATGGCGCAGAAGATCGGATTAGAAATAAGTACATGCGAACCAAAGGTGAGTGGCTCAATTATAAATGTGTACAGAACGAAAAACAACAGAAAATATATGTAAAAAAGAAAAGGTTCACTTCGAAAGCATGGAAAAAATCTCATTAAAAAAACGATAATCATAATGAAGAAAAAAATAGAAAGATGAAAGAAAGACACGGGAGAAAGGTGTTGGAGAGCCATTATCAGATAAGCCATTAAAAGATATACCTTATAAAAAAAAGTGTAGCCCTGAAAATGCCTTAGACTGAACGGATTAGCGGGTTCACGGTAGCAGATGTACCCGCTTTTATCTTCATGGATCTAATTTGTGTGTTTATGTGTTTGCATGTAAATATTGTTAACTGTAATGTATTGTCTTGTAACCAGTTTAATTAATTATGTTTATCTTACTTTAAAATTGCATCTTGGAATTTTAATACTGAACTTCGTGGTTAAAAGAATTGAATATTTCCAAGTTACATCACTGGATGTGTTCGAACTGGGCTAAAAGAATTTCAAATACTGACTGAAGGAAGACTGGTTGTTAGCATTTCCAAAATTGGACCAATCTGTCTGTATCCTATCTGGATTTATGTCGAGCTATGATGAGCTTAAATACCCATTCATAAAAACCACATGCCTGGGACAGTTGATTGCAACTAATACGTCATCATTAGAAATCAGGTAGAGTTAAAAGCCAGTATTTCAAACAGACGGGTTGGCCGTTTGTACTTGATTAACGCTACTTTCTTCTTTTGTTCTTGTACCAGACTTGACTAAAATTAGTAAATTGTTTAAGCCTAAATAAATCTCTTTTGACTTTTCCTATCTTTCTTAGCAATATAAAACTCTCCTGTGGAGTATAGGACCACAGTCTCTCCACACCAGCTGTTAATGTTGGGGTTTCTGTAGCATGTAGGTATTTAATGGGCGGATTTGCCGACTATCTTTTAGATTTGTTGCCAACCAAGGCTAACGAATACATCTCTTCTCCATCAATTAGTGGAGGAGAGAAGCGAGATTGACTCATACTTTTCCCAAATGGTATTTATGCGAAAGTAAATACAACAAACTCGACCGGAATTTAAACTTAGTACGGCGATTGTCCTTCTTCACGATCATAACCGCTACGCTACGCGTATACGTCCCCTTCATTCGTTTGTGTCGACTACAAATGGAAATTTTCATAATATTGCATTTCCGAAGACTTCAGTTTAGCTGTCACTATTGGATTCGTTATATGACTTTCTCCTGCAAATGTTGTTTTCCGTGTTGCAAGTATTCTTTGCCGCCCTATTTTTCGTCGTTCAGTTTGAACCTCACTAATACGGTATTTTTACGACTAAACATAACAGAGTAGCAGATTTTCCGAACTATTGATGTTTAAAGTAGAAAAAAATCAAATGATGCATATACCTTACTTTATTACTGGTAGAGATAAAACTTATCTTGACATAAAAATGAACTGAGAAAAAAATTATTTTTCCGAGATTTGCAATGCAGATACTGAAATTTATTTTCTTATTAATGAAGTGCTGATAGATTTTATTTAAATCTAATAATTATCTGAATTTAATAAATTATTTTTAAAACGAGTTACTTTCTACCTAAATAATCTTTAATGCAAATTATTATAATATATTTTTTTACAATTAAAGAACGTTTTATACTACCACTTATCACAAATATTTCTGGTTCTATTAAAGTGAATAAAAATTATTTATATATAAGAATTAATCCCATTTTGTTTTAAATAATAGTATAAAATGTTTGACCATAAACTTTTTCTATAAGTTTGTAATTTCTCCGGCTTAGATTTTGATTTCCTGCAGGATTTCACATTAACAAAATAATGATCACCAGATTCATATCATCGTTTCAAACCATGGAAGCAATGAGGTCTGAAAAACACGAATTATTGGAGTTCATTCCGTATTTTTGTTGTTATTTCAGAAATAAAAAATTAATCGTGTGTAAGGGGGTAATTTTCGTTTGCAAACTATAAATACTACAATAAAAAAGAAAAGACTTTATTGTCATTTTTACGTAATTATTTGTGCTATTTTCCTGAACAAATACAAAAAACATTAAAGTGTCATAATGAAATAAATTAGTGCAAACTTTAAAAATTATTTTTAGTGATGTTGCAAAAGAAAAAGTCATAAAATTGTTTTTATTACATAACTTAGATTTTTATTGCTGACTACCATAATTTATTCAATATTGCTCTGACCCTCTGTATAGTTGCAGTTATTAATACAATGTCTAGGAAAATTCATTCTTCAGCCTTCATTAAGTGTATTTTGTGAGAAAAAGGCATTTTTTTTTTAACAGGGAAAATTTTAATACTATTTTAGCAAAACAGTTTTCCAGGAAGAATATCTTTTTTGTTTTTATTGGTTGCGTTAAAAATTCTGGCAACGGGATTTTTTTTAACAATTCTCTCGTTTCTCATGGCTGCTGTTCATGTAAATTCATCCATCCAATTCTTTTGTCTGAGAATCTGATAACTTTGAATATGTTTGGTTAATTATGCCTATCTTCTCGGGCTGTGTCTGGAAAATCAGTTTATTGGACTGACTTAATTCTTGACTTTTTTCAGTTCGAATAAAGTTTTCTAAGATTCCAATTTCCTTAGCAGGAATAAAATCTGTTTAAATTTCAAAATCGTCGTCAAACTGGTGAAGTTTTTTTTATTTGTTGAAATATATTAAACGTTATATTACGTTAAATTTCCCATGGCAAATGTTCAACCGAGCTACATTACTTCCACCGCTTCAGGTTTTCACAGCAAGGACCCACTCTGCCTACTTTCACCGGGTCGACTCATTCATATTCCATTCGTATTCCATTGGTAAGGAGGCAGTTTCAGTTACAAATCTTCTTCCCCGGGAACTGGTACGTTGTGGAACAGACTCCTGAGAGGATGCTTCTACAATCGTTAGAAACAACCTTTATCTTAATATGCACTTCTTACTTCTTCTCGCAATAACCTTAAAACAACCGGTGTAAGTAAAAAAAATACCTTCGGTGGACTTGGGCCGTTGTATTGGGGGGGGGGAGTGCTAAGTGAAAGATTTAACTAATATGGTCCAATTAAGTGATTAAATCATTCACGAATTTCCCACAGAGATAGTAACTAATTTTACGACAACAAATTCAGTTTAATGAATCGAAGAATGGATGAAACGACAGAATGAAAAAAAGAAAGATTTATAAAAAGGAAATAAAAAACAAAGGAAAAAAGAAGGAATTAAAAGAAAATGAAAGAACCTGAAAAAAGTAAACTTCTTTCACCATAGGAAATTGCTTAATTCATATATCTTTTCAAATGGAACTCTTTCTGTTGTAAGAGGCTTTATATATGAGCTGGTGTTTGCGTCCAGATAAAATTCAGGATTTTGAATTCCAATTTTTTATGAAATTCATATTTCATCGGAATAGTCGCTGGTAAAATACTTCTACAATGATTATTTCATTTGACCTCCCACCAGAGTTTGTTAAATCAATTCAGGTGTAATAAATTCCAGGACATTTTCATGTAGCCGGTTAATGAATTCTCCCTGTGATATGACTTATTGCATAAACAGCAAGTATATTATGACGAATAAATAGAAATAGAAATGGCGTGTTGTTTATTAGTACAGGAGTTTGATTCGGCTTGTTGATATCATGTGAGATTTCTTGGCTTCGGTGTGGCTTAGTGCCCTTGAGGACGGCAAGATATTTCTTTTGACTTTGCTTAAAAAGTGAAGTAGAGCGGAGAATAAGAAGAAATAAGAGGGAGATTTAGCAAAATGGTGAAAAAGGGGAAAACATGAGAAAATACCGGGAGAAAAAATGATGGATCCGAAAGAATGAAATAAAGAAGAAAGTATTGGTTGGAAAGAAGAAGACAAGAGAAGAATAATGGAAAGAAAGAAAATGATGGATCCTAACAAAGGAAATAAAGAAGAAAGTATTGGTTGGAAAGAAGAAGACAAGAGAAGAATAATGGAAAGAAAGAAAATGATGGATCCCAACAAAGGAAATAAAGAAGAAAGTATTGGTTGGAAAGAAGAAGACAAGAGAAGAATAATGGAAAGAAAGAAAATGATGGATCCTAACAAAGGAAATAAAAAGAAAGTATCGGTTGGAAAGAAGAAGACAAGAGAAGAATAATGGAAAGAAAGAAAATGATGGATCCTAACAAAGGAAATAAAGAAGAAAGTATTGGTTGGAAAGAAGAAGACAAAAAGAATAATGGAAAGAAAGAAAATGATGGATCCTAACAAAAGAAATAAAAGAAGAAAGTATTGGTTGGAAAGAAGAAGACAAGAGAAGAATAATGGAAAGAAAGAAAATGATGGATCCTAACAAAGGAAATAAAGAAGAAAGTATTGGTTGGAAAGAAGAAGACAAGAGAAGAATAATGGAAAGAAAGAAAATGATGGATCCTAACAAAGGAAATAAAGAAGAAAGTATTGGTTGGAAAGAACAAGACAAGAGAAGAATAATGGAAAGAAAGAAAATGATGGATCCTAACAAAGGAAATAAAGAAGAAAGTATTGGTTGGAAAGAAGAAGACAAGAGAAGAATAATGGAAAGAAAGAAAATGATGGATCCCAACAAAGGAAATAAAGAAGAAAGTATTGGTTTGAAAGAAGAAGACAAGAGAAAAATAACGTAAAGAAAGAAAATGATGGATCCTAACAAAGGAAATAAAGAAAAAAAGTATTGGTTGGAAAGAAGAAGACAAGAGAAGAATAATGGAAAGAAAGAAAAAATGATGGATCCTAACAAAGGAAATAAAGAAGAAAGTATTGGTTAGAAAGAAGAAGACAATAGAAGAATAATGGAAAGAAAGAAAATGATGGATCCTAACAAAGGAAATAAAGAAGAAAGTATTGGTTGGAAAGAAAAAGACAAGAGAAGAATAATGGAAAGAAAGAAAATGATGGATCCTAACAAAGGAAATAAAAAGAAAGTATCGGTTGGAAAGAAGAAGACAAGAGAAGAATAATGGAAAGAAAGAAAATGATGGATCCTAACAAAGGAAATAAAGAAGAAAGTATTGTTTGGAAAGAAGAAGACAAGAGAAGAATAATGGAAAGAAAGAAAATGATGGATCCTAACAAAGGAAATAAAGAAGAAAGTATTGGTTGGAAAGAAGAAGACAAGAGAAGAATAATGGAAAGAAAGAAAATGATGGAACCTAACACAAGAAATAAAGAAGAAAGTATTGGTTGGAAAGAAGAAGACAAGAGAAGAATAATGGAAAGAAAGAAAATGATGGATCCGAACAAAGGAAATAAAGAAGAAAGTATTGGTTGGAAAGAAGAAGACAAGAGAAGAATAATGGAAAGAAAGAAAATGATGGATCCTAACAAAGGAAATAAAGAAGAAAGTATTGGTTGGAAAGAAGAAGACAAGAGAAGAATAATGGAAAGAAAGAAAATGATGGATCCTAACAAAGGAAATAAAGAAGAAAGTATTGGTTGGAAAAAGAAGAAGACAAGAGAAGAATAATGGAAAGAAAAGAAAATGATGGATCCTAACAAAGGAAATAAAGAAGAAAGTATTGGTTGGAAAAGAAGAAGACAAGAGAAGAATAATGGAAAGAAAGAAAATGATGGATCCTAACAAAGGAAATAAAGAAGAAAGTATTGGTTGGAAAGAAGAAGACAAGAGAAGAATAATGGAAAGAAAGAAAATGATGGATCCTAACAAAGGAAATAAAGAAGAAAGTATTGGTTGGAAAGAAGAAGACAAGAGAAGAATAATGGAAAGAAAGAAAATGATGGATCCTAACAAAGGAAATAAAGAAAAAGTATTGGTTGGAAAGAAGAAGACAATAGAAGAATAACGAAGAGAAAGAAAATGATGGATCCTAACAAAGGAAATAAAGAAGAAAGTATTGGTTGGAAAGAAGAATACAAGAGATGAATAATGGAAAGAAAGAAAATGATGGATCCTAACAAAGGAAATAAAAAGGAAAGTATTGGTTGGAAAGAAGAAGACAAGAGAAGAATAATGGAAAGAAAGAAAATGATGGATCCTAACAAAGGAAATAAAAAGGAAAGTATTGGTTGGAAAGAAGAAGACAAGAGAAGAATAATGGAAAGAAAGAAAATGATGGCTCTAACAAAGGAAATAAAGAAGAAAAAGTATTGGTTGGAAAGAAGAAGACAAAAGAGAAGAATAATGGAAAGTAAGAAAATGATGGATCCTAACAAAGGAAATAAAGAAAGAAAAGTATTGGTTGGAAAGAAGAAGACAAGAGAAGAATAATGGAAAGAAAGAAAATGATGGATCCTAACAAAGGAAATAAAGAAGAAAGTATTGGTTGGAAAGAAGAAGACAAAAGAGAAGAATAATGGAAAGAAAGAAAATGATGGATCCTAACAAAGGAAATAAAGAAAAGAAAGTATTGGTTGGAAAGAAGAAGACAACAGAAGAATAATGGAAAGAAAGAAAATGATGGATCTAACAAAGGAAATAAAGAAGAAAGTATTGGTTGGAAAGAAGAAGACAAGAGAAGAATAATGGAAAGAAAGAAAATGATGGATCCTAACAAAGGAAATAAAGAAGAAAGTATTGGTTGGAAAGAAGAAGACAAGAGAAGAATAATGGAAAGAAAGAAAATGATGGATCCTAACAAAGGAAATAAAGAAGAAAGTATTGGTTGGAAAGAAGAAGACAAGAGAAGAATAATGGAAAGTAAGAAAATGATGGATCCTAACAAAGGAAATAAAGAAGAAAGAATTGGTTGGAAAGAAGAAGACAAGAGAAGAATAATGGAAAGAAAAAAATTGATGGAACCGAATGAAGGAAATAAAGAAGAAAGTATTGGTTGGAAAGAAGAAGACAAGAGAAGAATAACGGAAAGAAAGAAAATGATGGAACCTAACAAAGGAAATAAAGAAGAAAGTATTGGTTGGAAAGAAGAAGACAAGAGAAGAATAATGGAAAGAAAGAAAATGATGGATCCTAACAAAGGAAATAAAGAAGAAAGTATTGGTTGGAAAAAGAAGAAGACAAGAGAAGAATAATGGAAAGAAAAGAAAATGATGGATCCTAACAAAGGAAATAAAGAAGAAAGTATTGGTTGGAAAGAAGAAGACAAAGAGAAGAATAATGGAAAGAAAAAAATGATGGATCCTAACAAAAAGAAATAAAAAAAGAAAGTATTGGTTGGAAAGAAGAAGACAAGAGAAGAATAATGGAAAAGTAAGAAAAAATGATGGATCCTAACAAAAATAAAGAAGAAAGAATTGGTTGGAAAGAAGAAGACAAAGAAGAAGAATAATGGAAAAAAAAAATTGATGGAACCGAATGAAGGAAATAAAGAAGAAAGTATTGGTTGGAAAGAAGAAGACAAAGAGAAGAATAACGGAAAGAAAAGAAAATGATGGATCTAACAAAGGAAATAAAGAAGAAAGTATTGGTTGGAAAGAAGAAGACAAGAGAAGAATAATGGAAAGAAAGAAAATGATGGATCCTAACAAAGGAAATAAAAAGAAAAAGTATTGGTTGGAAAGAAAGAAGACAAGAGAAGAATAATGGAAAAGAAAGAAAATGATGGATCCTAACAAAAGGCAATAAAAAAGCAATGTATTGGTTGGAAAAAAAGAAGACAAAGAGAAGAATAATGGAAAGAAAAGAAAATGATGGATCCTAACAAAGGAAATAAAGAAGAAAGTATTGGTTGGAAAGAAGAAGACAAGAGAAGAATAATGGAAAGAAAGAAAATGATGGATCCTAACAAAGGAAAAAAAAAAGAAAGTATTGGTTGGAAAGAAGAAGACAAAGAAGAATAATGGAAAGAAAAGAAAATGATGGATCCTAACAAAGGAAATAAAAGAAGAAAGTATTGGTTGGAAAAGAAGAAGACAAGAGAAGAATAATGGAAAGAAAGAAAATGATGGATCCTAACAAAGGAAATAAAGAAGAAAGTATTGGTTGGAAAGAAGAAGACAAGAGAAGAATAATGGAAAGAAAAGAAAATGATGGATCCTAACAAAGGAAATAAAGAAGAAAATATTGGTTGGAAAGAAGAAGACAAGAGAAAAATAATGGAAAGAAAGAAAATGATGGATCCTAACAAAGGAAATAAAAGAAGAAAGTATTGGTTGGAAAGAAGAAGACAAAGAGAAGAATAATGGAAAGAAAAAAATGATGGATCCTAACAAAGGAAATAAAGAAAAAGAATTGGTTGGAAAGAAGAAGACAAGAGAAGAATAATGGAAAGAAAAAAAAAGAAAAATGGAACCGAATGAAGGAAATAAAGAAGAAAGTATTGGTTGGAAAGAAGAAGACAAGAGAAGAATAACGGAAAAGAAAAGAAAATGATGGATCCTAACAAAGGAAATAAAGAAGAAAAGTATTGGTTGGAAAGAAGAAGACAAAAGAGAAGAATAATGGAAAGAAAGAAAATGATGGATCCTAACAAAGGAAATAAAGAAAAGAAAGTATTGGTTGGAAAGAAGAAGACAAAGAGAAGAATAATGGAAAGAAAGAAAATGATGGATCCTAACAAAGGAAATAAAAAAGAATGTATTGGTTGGAAAGAAGAAGACAAGAGAAAAATAATGGAAAGAAAAAAAATGATGGATCCTAACAAAAGGCAATAAAAAAGCAAATGTATTGGTTGGAAAGAAGAAGACAAATGGAAGAAGAATAATGGAAAGAAAGAAAATGATGGATCCTAACAAAGGAAATAAAGAAGAAAGTATTGGTTGGAAAGAAGAAGACAAGAAAGAATAATGGAAAGAAAGAAAATGATGGATCCTAACAAAGGAAATAAAAAGAAAGTATTGGTTGGAAAGAAGAAGACAAAGAGAAGAATAATGGAAAGAAAGAAAATGATGGATCCTATCAAAGGAAATAAAGAAAGAAAGTATTGGTTGGAAAAGAAGAAGACAAGAGAAGAATAATGGAAAGAAAGAAAATGATGGATCCTAACAAAGGAAATAAAGAAGAAAGTATTGGTTGGAAAGAACAAAGACAAAGAGAAGAATAATGGAAAGAAAGAAAATGATGGATCCTAACAAAGGAAATAAAAGAAAATTGAAAGTATTGGTTGGAAAGAAGAAGACAAAGAGAAGAATAATGGAAAGAAAGAAAATGATGGATCCCAACAAAGGAAATAAAGAAAGAAAGTATTGGTTTGAAAAGAAGAAGACAAGAGAAAAATAACGTAAAAGAAAGAAAATGATGGATCCTAACAAAGGAAATAAAGAAGAAAAGTATTGGTTGAAAGAAGAAGACAAAGAGAAGAATAATGGAAAGAAAGAAAATGATGGATCTAACAAAGGAAATAAAGAAAGAAAGTATTGGTTGGAAAGAAATAAGACAATAGAAGAATAATGGAAAGAAAGAAAATGATGGATCCCAACAAAGGAAATAAAGAAGAAAGTATTGGTTGGAAAAAGAAGAAGACAAAGAAGAATAATGGAAAGAAAGAAAATGATGGATCCTAACAAAGGAAATAAAAAAGAAAGTATTGGTTGGAAAGAAGAAGACAAAGAGAAGAATAATGGAAAGAAAGAAAATGATGGATCCTAACAAAGGAAATAAAGAAGAAAGTATTGGTTGGAAAGAAGAAGACAAGAAGAATAATGGAAAGAAAGAAAATGATGGATCCTAACAAAGGAAATAAAAAAAGAAAGTATTGGTTGGAAAAAGAAGACAAAGAGAAGAATAATGGAAAGAAAGAAAATGATGGATCCTAACAAAGGAAATAAAAGAAAGAAAGTATTGGTTGGAAAGAAAGAGAAAGAAAGAATAATGGAAAGAAAAGAAAATTGGATCCTAACAAAGAAATAAAAGAAGAAAGTATTGGTTGGAAAGAATAATGGAAAGAAAGAAAATGATGGATCTAACAAAGGAAATAAAGAAGAAAGTATTGGTTGGAAAGAAGAAGACAAAGAGAAGAATAATGGAAAGAAAAGAAAATGATGGATCCTAACAAAGGAAATAAAAGAAGAAAGTATTGGTTGGAAAGAAGAAGACAAGAAAAAATAATGGAAAGAAAGAAAATGATGGATCTAACAAAGGAAATAAAGAAGAAAGTATTGGTTGGAAAGAAGAAGACAAGAGAAGAATAATGGAAAGAAAAAGAAAATGATGGATCCTAACAAAGGAAATAAAAGAAAGAAAGTATTGTTTGGAAAAAGAAGAATACAAAGAGAAAAATAATGGAAAGAAAGAAAATGTGGATCCTAACAAAAAATAAAAAAGGAAAAGTTGGAAAGAAGAAGACAAAGAGAAGAATAATGGAAAGAAAGAAAATGATGGATCCTAACAAAGGAAATAAAAAAAAGAAAGTATTGGTTGGAAAAGAAGAAGACAAAGAGATGAATAATGGAAAGAAAAAAATGATGGATCCTAACAAAGGAAATAAAAAGAAGAAAAGTATTGGTTGGAAAGAAGAAGACAAGAGAAGAATAATGGAAAGAAAGAAAATGATGGATCCTAACAAAGGAAATAAAAAAAAAAGTATTGGTTGGAAAAAGAAGAAGACAAGAGAAGAATAATGGAAAGAAAGAAAATGATGGATCCTAACAAAGGAAATAAAGAAGAAAGTATTGGTTGGAAAAAGAAGAAGACAAAGAGAAGAATAATGGAAAGAAAGAAAATGATGGATCCTAACAAAGGAAATAAAGAAGAAAGTATTGGTTGGAAAGAAGAAGACAAGAGAAGAATAATGGAAAGAAAGAAAATGATGGATCCTAACAAAGGAAATAAAAAGGAAAGTATTGGTTGGAAAGAAGAAGACAAGAGAAGAATAATGGAAAGAAAGAAAATGATGGATCCTAACAAAGGAAATAAAGAAAGAAAAGTATTGGTTGGAAAGAAGAAGACAAAAGAAAGAATAATGGAAAGAAAGAAAATGATGGATCTAACAAAGAAAAAAAAAAAGTATTGGTTGGAAAAAGAAAAGAAAAGAGAAAGAATAATGGAAAGAAAGAAAATGATGGATCCTAACAAAAAAAGAAGAAAGAAAAGAAGACAAAAGAAAGAATAATGGAAAGAAAGAAAATGATGGATCCTAACAAAGGAAATAAAGAAGAAAGTATTGGTTGGAAAGAAGAAGACAAGAGAAGAATAATGGAAAGAAAGAAAATGATGGATCTAACAAAGGAAATAAAGAAAAAGTATTGGTTGGAAAGAAGAAGACAAAGAGAAGAATAATGGAAAGAAAGAAAATGATGGATCCTAACAAAGGAAATAAAAAGAAAAGTATTGGTTGGAAAAGAAGAAGACAAGAGAAGAATAATGGAAAGAAAGAAAATGATGGATCCTAACAAAGGAAATAAAAAAAGAAAGTATTGGTTGGAAAAAAGAAGACAAGAGAAGAATAATGGAAAGAAAGAAAATGATGGATCTAACAAAGAAAATAAAGAAAGGAAAGTATTGGTTGGAAAAAAAGAAGACAAGAAAGAATAATGGAAAGAAAAGAAAATGATGGATCTAACAAAGGAAATAAAAGAAAGAAAGTATTGGTTGGAAAAGAAGAAGACAAGAGAAGAATAATGGAAAGAAAGAAAATGATGGATCCTAACAAAGGAAATAAAAAAAAAAAATATTGGTTGGAAAGAAGAAGACAAGAGAAGAATAATGGAAAGAAAGAAAATGATGGATCCTAACAAAGGAAATAAAGAAAAAAAGTATTGGTTGGAAAGAAGAAGACAAGAGAAGAATAATGGAAAGAAAGAAAATGATGGATCTAACAAAGGAAATAAAAGAAGAAAGTATTGGTTGGAAAGAAGAAGACAAGAGAAAGAATAATGGAAAAAAGAAAGAAAGAAAATGATGGATCCCAACAAAGGAAATAAAGAAAAAAGTATTGGTTGGAAAGAAGAAGACAAGAGAAGAATAATGGAAAGAAAAAAATGATGGATCCTAACAAAGGAAATAAAGAAAGAAAGTATTGGTTGGAAAGAAGAAGACAAGAGAAGAATAATGGAAAGAAAGAAAATGATGGATCCTAACAAATGAAATAAAAAAAGAAAAGTATTGGTTGGAAAAAGAAGAAGACAAGAGAAGAATAATGGAAAGAAAAAGAAAATGATGGATCTAACAAAAGGAAATAAAGGAAATAAAAAGAAGAAACAGAAGAATAATGGAAAAAAAGAAAATTATGGATCCTAACAAAGAAATAAAAGAAGAAAGTATTGGTTGGAAAAGAAGAAAAGAAAGAATAATGGAAAGAAAGAAAATGATCCTAACAAAGGAAATAAAGAAGAAAGTATTGGTTGGAAAGAAGAAGACAAGAGAAGAATAATGGAAAGAAAGAAAATGATGGATCCTAACAAAGGAAATAAAAGAAAAAGTATTGGTTGGAAAAGAAGAAGACAAGAGAAGAATAATGGAAAGAAAGAAAATGATGGATCCTAACAAAGGAAATAAAAGAAGAAAGTATTGGTTGGAAAGAAGAAGACAAGAGAAGAATAATGGAAAGAAAAGAAATGATGGATCCTAACAAAGGAAATAAAAAAAAAAAGTATTGGTTGGAAAGAAGAAGACAAGAGAAGAATAATGGAAAGAAAAAAATGATGGATCCTAACAAAGGAAATAAAGAAAGAAAGTATTGGTTGGAAAGAAGAAGACAAAGAAAGAATAATGGAAAGAAAAGAAAATGATGGATCTAACAAAGGAAATAAAGAAAGAAAGTATTGGTTGGAAAGAAAGAAGACAAGAGAAGAATAATGGAAAGAAAAATGATGGATCTAACAAAGGAAATAAAAGAAGAAAGTATTGGTTGGAAAAAGAAGACAAGAGAAAAATAATGGAAAGAAAAGAAAATGATGGATCTAACAAAGGAAATAAAAGAAGAAAGTATTGGTTGGAAAGAAGAAGACAAGAGAAAAATAATGGAAAGAAAAGAAAATGATGGATCTAACAAAGGAAATAAAAGAAAGAAAGTATTGGTTGGAAAGAAGAAGACAAGAGAAGAATAATGGAAAGAAAGAAAAATGATGGATCCTAACAAAGGAAATAAAGAAAGAAAGTATTGGTTGGAAAGAAGAAGACAAAGAGAAAAATAATGGAAAGAAAAGAAAATGATGGATCCTAACAAAGGAAATAAAAGAAAGAAAGTATTGGTTGGAAAGAAGAAGACAAGAGAAGAATAATGGAAAGAAAGAAAATGATGGATCCTAACAAAGGAAATAAAAAAGAAAGTATTGGTTGGAAAGAAGAAGACAAAGAAAGAATAATGGAAAGAAAGAAAAATGATTGATCCTAACAAAGGAAATAAAGAAAAAGTATTGGTTGGAAAGAAGAAGACAAGAGAAGAATAATGGAAAGAAAGAAAATGATGGATCCTAACAAAGGAAATAAAGAAAGAAAGTATTGGTTGGAAAGAAGAAGACAAGAGAAGAATAATGGAATGGAAAGAAAGAAAATGATGGATCCTAACAAAGGAAATAAAGAAGAAAGTATTGGTTGGAAAGAAGAAGACAAGAGAAGAATAATGGAAAGAAAGAAAAATGATGGATCCTAACAAAGGAAATAAAGAAGAAAGTATTGGTTGGAAAAAGAAGAAGAAAGAGAAGAATAATGGAAAGAAAGAAAATGATGGATCTAACAAAGGAAATAAAGAAAGAAAGTATTAGTTGGAAAAGAAGAAGACAAAGAATAATGGAAAGAAAGAAAATGATGGATCCTAACAAAGGAAATAAAGAAAGAAAATATTGGTTGGAAAGAAGAAGACAAGAGAAGAATAATGGAAAGAAAGAAAATGATGGATCCTAACAAAGAAAATAAAGAAGAAAGTATTGGTTGGAAAGAAGAAGACAAAGAGAGAAAAATAATGGAAAGAAAGAAAATGATGGATCCTAACAAAGGAAATAAAAAGAAGAAAGTATTGGTTGGAAAGAAGAAGACAAGAGAAAAATAATGGAAAGAAAAAAAAATGATGGATCCTAACAAAGGAAATAAAGAAGAAAGTATTGGTTGGAAAGAAGAAGACAAGAGAAGAATAATGGAAAGAAAGAAAATGATGGATCCTAACAAAGGAAATAAAGAAAAAGTATTGGTTGGAAAGAAGAAGACAAGAAAGAATAATGGAAAGAAAGAAAATGATGGATCCTAACAAAGGAAATAAAAGAAAGTATTGGTTGGAAAGAAGAAGACAAGAGAAGAATAATGGAAAGAAAGAAAATGATGGATTCTAACAAAGGAAATAAAAAGAAAGTATTGGTTGGAAAAAGAAGAAGACAAGAGAAGAATAATGGAAAGAAAGAAAAATGATGGATCCTAACAAACAAAGGAAAAAGTAAAGAAGAAGACAAAGAGAAGAATAATGGAAAAAAAAAAATGATGGATCAACAAAGAAATAAAGAATACTGGAAAGAAGAAAAAGAAAATAATGGAAAAAAAAAAAATTAGAAAAGAAACGAAATAAGAAAATTTAGAAACGTAGCAGAAGAGAATGGATTAGGAAATCGAAAAGTAATTACTTAAATTATTTTAATTCTCATATCATTTTTCAGCACAACCTCTTTAGAAAAATAGTCTTTGTATATAAAACCATTTCATATCTCTATATTTCACCGGCAGGAGTCGGCATTTGAATCTAAATAAAAGTATGAACTTCGAATTATTTTTTGAAATACAAGAAAGAATATTGGTGATACACTAGTGCGTTCGGTCCTCACTGGGTACTCATGGAATCTGACCTATTTTCATTGTTATAGTGCAATGCTCAACTTGACAATGCGATTGAATTCTATTTTCCTTATTAAGTGCTCTGTCTTGCCTTATGCCTTACGTACCTTTATTTTACTTGTATCAATTTTGGAAATAGTAGGCGTTACCTTTGTATATAAATCGGAAGAAATGTACGTGTATTCGCACTTGAAACGTGTGGTCCAGTTTCAAATCATTTGACAGCCATTAAAAAGTTTTATCACCTAATCTCTTCAAAATGGTATGTATGGGCATGGAATGAGAAAATTCATACTGAAGAAAATATAACCTTATGCCAGACTTGTTTCAACTAAATATCCATTACAAATTTCTTTTGAAAAGTCTTGTAATCAGAAGAGGTAGTGTAATCAGGTATTTGCCGCCTGACAATGCCAAAGTTCGATACACGTCTAGTTTTAAAATCCTTCATACCACCTAATATGGCACGAGTCTATCCGTCAATATAACCATCTTAATGAAATGACGAGATACTCTTTGGGAAATACATCAAGCCACAGATGACCAGACATCAGCCCTAAGTAAGTATAATATAAACCAAACTATTGCTTACAGTTTTAATTCATTATGTACAACTATTTCAGATGTGCTGTACTTCAAAAATCTTCAATAACCAAAACTGAAATGGCCACCTTTCTCATTGTTCAATTCTCATACATGCCGAGACACTTACACGCACGCATACACACAAACACACACACACACATATATATATTTATTTGAATTTGCTATATTTATGGCGGAAGAGAGTCACTATTTGTGATAGAGTATCTATCTATCTGTGTGGGTAGGTTAATTTTATCTATCACTTGTTAAAATCCTTTTAACACAATTTTCAAACTGAAGGATTTTTTTTAGCTTTGGGTTTTTTTGATTTCATGTGAAGGGTTTCACTAATCTGAAGTTGACCTACAGCTTCGGGCAGTAATATGATTGTGATTCTATTAAATAAATTTCGTACCAGAACTATACTAGTAAAAGAAACAGTTTGGCACAACAGAGAATTTGCCCGCACATGGAAGATAAACTAAATTGTCACCGAAAACTGTATTGCGAGGTTAATATAAAGCCAAGAGTTGTGTAAATAGAAATGAGTTGCATGGAAACCAATCACGACAAACCCCTCTTCAGAAACTATGTCACATTTTGCCAAAATGTTCTCGGACAAAGGAAATTGATTTTAGGAACAATTACTATGGATTGATAAAATAAAAGTTGAGCTTTGTGAACGTAATGATGTACAGAAGATTTGGCGAAAAAAAAGGTGAGTCTTCCTTCCATAAGTGAACAAGTAACAGTGGCAACATTAAAACAAGGAGGCAACTCGATGGTGTTTTGCTGTTGTTTTAGCTCAAGGAAAACTGGATAGTTTATTGAAATAAGAGGAATAATGAAATCTGCAGACTATATCAAAATCCTGAATGAAAATCTAGAACTATCAGTACAAAATCTTCATATAGGTCCAGCAAGATAATGATCTCAAACATGTGTCTAAATCAGTGACTGCGTGGCTTCAGAAAAAAAGATTACAATTACGCCATGGCCTTCAATGATCCTGACTTGAATCCTATTGAAAATCTATGGCAAGAATTGAAAGTTCAATAAATCGTCGATAACCAAAAACCATCATCAATTAGAACGTGTAACTATTGAAGAATGGAAGAAAATCCCAGAAAATACTTGTTTACATCTCATCAAAAACTTTAGAAAGCGATTGCAGCAAGTTATAAAGATATGATACCATGCTATTGATTGTTGATATTGTGAAAAGTGTTCAATTTTTTCTATTTTTCATACCGCACGATTTTTTTTTCTATTTTGCATACTTCACCTGTCAAATTTATTCTATTTGAATTATTGTTCTGAAAATTGAGTTTTATATTCCCCTTTTGTGCTTATTAAGATATAAAAAAAAACTGATACCATACGGGAATTATATTCTGAGAAATGGATAAAAAATATTCAAAACTGATTGGTTCACGAATAATTTTGTCGTTGACTGTATGCTGCATAAAGCATTTGATAAGGCACGACCCAAAGTTCTGTTTGAACCGCTAGGAAAATTTAGGAAAGATATTAGAACAATACAGATCTTAAAACTGGGAATCAACCTCCTGTATACGGATAGAAAATAAATTGAATAATTATACAAAAATAGAAATGTGTATAGAAGAAAGATGTGTTTTCTCACTGTGTTTATTTAACCTTCTTGGCGAGGCTATTTTAAGAGAGCTGGGGGTTCGGCTAGCAGTCATTATAGATGGGCATCATCTTAACCACATCAGATACGCAGATATGTTGATGACAGATGCAGAAAGAAAACTATAGGATCTCCTAGACACTGTTATAAAAGAAAGCCAGAAGAAAGGACTAACCATTAAGAAAACAGAATATATGGCTGCCATCGCGAGAAAAAAACAAATATGCGAGCTATAAATTGCAGATTTCAAAATCAAACAAATACAGAAGTGTATTATCAGATGGGGAAAAATTTAACATCGAATTTGAAGATGCCTGCTAAAATAAAAAGATTGATTTGTTTTGTTTTTATCAACCTTTTGAAAGTTATTTAAAGCCAGGATATAGTTTTAGATTGTAAGAATATTTTTTGGATATAATAATGACATACTGATACAAGTTCTACTAATTAATCCATAACTGGAGAGAGAAAGATGGATTTATACTTTTCCCAAGAGTATTTACATGTAAGTGAATATAACAAACCTGACTAGAATTGGAAATCAGATCTCCGATTTCCAATTCCGAGCCGTTATTCATTACACCATCCGCACATCCAAGCTTACAGTACCTGGTATCCCGAAGCGGTCCCTCATCGAGGTATTGAGTAGACTTGACATTGCTTAACTTCAGTGGTCGTACGAGAAACGGTGTTTCAATATGATATGAGCATAAGCCCCAAAAGTAATAAGAATCAGAAAGATTTCGTTAGAATGATTGAATTGCTATGTAATGTAAATTCTCGTATATGTCAATAAATCCTGGACAATTTCTTCATAGATGAAGTGGAGACTCGACATAACAGAGATGTGGTTCTATAAAAAGATGGTGAGTATAACAATGGACAGAGTATATAAGCAACGAAGACATTTTAAGAACAATGCAAAGACAATTATACTTTCAATCAGAAAGACGGAGTTAAAACTTCTGGGACACATAATAAGGAAAAAAAGGTTTGGAAATATTTCATACTGAAGATAAAACAGTGAAAAAATTTGTTAAACTACTTAAGGAGCTTGTGTAAATAGGTGTTGAAACAATGAGGGAAGAGAGTCAAATATAAACTCTTTGCTAAGATCCTGCAAAAGGTAGAAAGTTGTAGAGAGCCATAACCGCCAATTCTCTGCGGGTACAAGACATATAGAAGAAGTCAATAAGGTTGTTATCGTACAAGACCCTAACTCCGGCTGTCCAAGACTTCCAACACCATGGCTGGTCGATGAAGTTACCGTTTCAATCCAGAGCTAACCTTATCCCACTAAATTCTTTCAACTCAGCTGCTACAGCTTCCGAACTATTAACTACTTCCTGTCCCAACTATCCCAGGTTGTTTATTAACCAATTGATACTGGCACTGTTCTTTGGCATCTCTAACCATGTCACATTCAATGTCGATACATTTTCTACTACCACCTGGGTTAGAATTCTTTGAGCTTTTTTCTAGTCCCTCCCCCAGTTTTCTCCTTATAACCTTGACGTCATCTTCAATCACTATTCGAAGCAAAACATTTAGTGCTTTTCCTACTATGGGAACTACTGCCCTCATTTCTCTCCTTTCTTCATATCTTTCCACTGGGCTTCCATTATAGCTGTTTCCAATCCTAAGGAATATAACAGTCTAAGATACTTTTCTTCCCTGGGATAAGTCTGCGCTATTCTCAACCTGGCTGTACTCAACCCTATTATCTCACTCTCGGATGGGTTCAAATCTATCACAAAGGTAACCAACCACTTCGACCTTGTTACTATCACTTCGCTGTGTCTCCAGACTCTTGTCATCATCATCATCATCCTTCTCCTCATAATCATCATCAGTAGTATCAGCCTTCTCCTACCAGCCATTCCTCCAAGGGTAACAAGATTTCCTTATTTTGCTTCCCTTAACCATTGATTGTTAGTTTAATTCTTATATTAAATTATAGCAGCAGCGATATGGAAACTTAGAAATTATAGAAAGAAATCGATTAACGGTATTTTGGCGAGCATGCAACGACTCAGGAAAGGAATTCCGATGAGTGATCTTTACCCAAACAGGTCAAATATCAATAAGGAAGAAACCGAACTGACTTCGTTAGAAGTAGAAATTGAGCCGGGACCTTTTGAAATGGAACCAATACTTGTTGAAGAAGAACCAAAACATCCCACTGCGGAGAAGAATGGTACCCAAGAAGAACAAACCATAAAAAACACACAACAGAAACAGAAACGTTGGATGAAAATTATTCGTTTTCTATTACTACTGCATGACTTAGTATACATGAAAAATAGTAGATTTGGGATTTGAGATGTCATTTACTACTAAATGACAGGAGAATTATGGAAGGAATGTGATACTATTTGTTATTACCGCGATAAAACATAGGAAATTTTTCTTAAGGATATAAGGAGCGATATACTGAGAGATTTTGGAATAAGAAGTGTTATATACCTAAAATCAGTGGGAAAAGATTGACGATTTAATTCACATATAGACGACCTGGAATGGGTGTGTCCAGGGTTTGAACAATGGAAAATGACCCAGACTTAGAGGGCAATGATCGTTGACATGTGTTTTACGCAGCTGAAAATGCAAGCTGTAAAGCGGTGTTGCAAGTCTTGGACGACCGGGGAGTGTTGTACGATTACAAGATGTTTCTAAGGGTTCTGAAGACCTACCAGGGCATATTATCGGCAGACGTAACCTTAACAATGTACATTACGCAGTAGTAACAGACGAAGGATAATACAAAATAGAAATCATAAAAAATAGCTAATAATATTGTTCAGAAACAAAATAAAGTATTAAGAATGCCATTAAAAACAAAGAAAATGATTTTATGCTGAATAATATCTAATGTACAATATGGTGGCGAATGCCAGGCAATTTCGTTAGAGATAAAGGAAAGGGCGGGAAAACAACAAAAGTGAATGTTAAAAAGGGAAATAGGACAAGAAAAGAAACTGCTGCCATTAGCCAGAAAGTTTCAGTGACATATAACGAAGAAAGAAAGTTTGGTGAATTTGACAAACACATGAAACAGTGAAGAGTAGCCGAAAAAAGTCTGAGTAATCAACAAGTTTCACAAACACAAAGATGGGTAATATAGGATGAAAACTGACTTAGAACAACAAAAAAAGAAATCGTGGTGAGCCATAATCACTCACATTTGTTGTATCTATATAGAATAAACTAATCGGTAATGGGAAAGTGTGAAAAACAAAACCTAACCCTACCAAGCGAGCCGTAGAAGACATAAAAAGGATAAAAACGGGAAAATAGAAGAGATATACATCTACCGAAATAAAAATCAATAGTGATCAATGATCAAATAAATAAAATTAAGGTAACGATAATAAATAAAATGCCAAATGTACAGGAATTCTGATATTAAATCGTCAGTTCGGGTTTCGTGAGCATAAGGAGGAGGAGGAGAAGATAAATGACTTACAAAAGACTCACATTGCGAAGAAAATTTGTTCGTTCGCCAAACTGGGCGTCTGAGGTTTGTACGTAATTCCTTTCCATTTGCATCTGTCAAAGTGTTTTTTAGTTTCTGATTTTATGCACAATATTGAAAACTAATTGGTTCGGCTTACTTTGGTGAATAACTAAAAAAAAAAAAAATGAAGGTGAAAAATAGCTTTCGAGGTCCTGACAGAATTCACAGCGCGGATTTGAATTCACGATGAAAAAAAAAGCGTGTCTCATGGAAGATCTAAACACCAGGATTTCGTTATGATGACAGTGTCATGGGAGGATGTCTCGGATATGCGAGCGTTGGTAAAAATGGAATTGCGAATAAGAAAAATAAAATTCATTACCCCCCCCCATACACACATAGGTATAGGCGCAAAAACATATATGCACAAATATATTCACACAGACGCATGCACCCACATAAACGTGAATTTTCACAAGTACAGATATACATAGATACATTTAGATAAATACCTGCACGCATAAACACAAACACATACAATTTCTATCTCAGCCTTTTAAATCACTAGATGAAATTCTGATCTTACATGAGATCGAGCATCTGCATTAAAACAAGCACACACACACACACATATATATATATATATATATATATATATATATATATATATATATATATATATATATATATATAGTTAATATTAGTTGTTATGCACATACATATGAAAAATATATAAATATATATACATAGGTGCATACACATACAAGTATATTTTTTGAATAAAAAATTCCAAGAGGATAGAATCCAGGTAGAACTTAATGTCCAGGACAGACTAAGGATATACTAAAAAGGCTTAAACACTAATATTCCATGGTCATAATTTATTCCATTGGAATGTTTACGATTCCAATTATATACCAATGTGTTCACATTTTTAAGCAGCATTTTATTAATTAGCAAAGGGATATTTTGTGTATATATTTATGCTTTCAGACCAAATTATTTGTATTTCATCAGGACGCTTGCAGTTTAGAAAGCTATAAATAAAAACCATACTTTGACTGTGTTGATGAGAAATGCTTCCGCTGACAGGATTTAGTATTTAGTTTCTACCAATGTAAACAGAAATTAATTTATAATTTTCAAAAAAACACAGACTAAATAAATAAACGAATCGTTGCGGTAAATAAAATGGGTAAAATTTATCAGCATGTCCTCATAGCATGGTAAATCCGGTGATTCTCCCAGGCGTCCGAATCATCAGTGTTCTCTGTCAAGAGTAAGATGTCTGAAAGAATCAGGGCATATGCTACATTATGTGAATCTTTTTAGTAGATCTATCATAGAAATGGTAGCACTTAATAAAGTGAAATGAGAGCAAGACTTCAGCAGCAGCAGCAATGTTAGCAGTAAGAGGTACCTCTGTGAATGCATTCTGGCGGAACAAGCAGAGCATAAGTTTCAACAACAGGTAGGTTAGGTTTAAGGCTGCAAGTTCTAAACTCAGGATTGTCCCTCGGGACAGTAGACTAGTGGATTAAAGCGTTACTTCGTGAATTTAGTGATATGGTAATTGTGAGTTCAATCCCTGGGATAAGACTCACAGACCCAATGAAAACAGGACGAATGAAATAAATTAATGAGAATTCTTCAGAGACGGTCAACGGAACAAGGAAATGGAATTCCTTGAAGGTTATGAAAGCCGGAAGATACGACATTATGATTAGAACAACAAAGATGAGGACAACAACTCAAGTGTAAATAATGTAAATAATGTAAATAATAATAATAATAATAATAATAATAATAATAATAATGCCAGAAATTCAGACAGACATTAATGATCCAAATTGGGATTTTGATGAATGAAGTTCGTCACAAGCAAAAACAGTTTCACTTTGTATAAGATAGTGGAACAATAAATGAAATTTTTGTGACAAGAGTAATATATGAGTGCACAATGTAAAGGACATATATCTATGTTTCGTACACTACAAAGAGACATTTAACTTTGTATAACATAATGAGCTGTTTGAAATATTCGAAAAAGCTTTTTAAAGATATTCAAGTAATCTGTAACTGCTCCTGTGAACAATCACTTTGCATGTGGATAGAGAACGACAATAGACAAAAATAGAAAGCGAAAGATAAAGATTTCTCACCGGGTGAATGCGCAGCCTGTACAGAGAAGCGTTCTTAAGAAGATAAGAAGATCTTCCAAGATTTATTATTAGTGGACATGATCTTAGTTGTATAAGATACGCAAATGATATTGTGTTGATGGCAGACATAGAAAAACAAAACCGACAAAAGTATTAGACGAGGTATCTAAGGAAATAAAAATCTGTTAGCTGTAAGAAGGCAAAATACTTGGTTGTCAGCAAAAGAGCCAACAAAATTTGCAAGTTACGTATTGGAAATATCAAAATCAAGTAGATACAGAAATTTAAGTAAGTTTTGTAGCAACAGAGGACGAAAAATGTGACCAAGAAATCTAAAAGTAATTGTGAATTGCAGAAGTTGCATTCTAGATTAGAAATATTGTTAGATGAACTACTTTGTAATATCTAATCGCATATGAATGAGAGAAAAAGAAGTGAGCAGGATCCTCACCAAGTGCTACACAACTGGGGTATTTTACCCACAAATGCTAATATAAGGAAACAACCAACATTTTCTGTGTTGTGAGTTCGATCTTTACTGGGTGCTCCATTACTGTGCCATTTTACCAAACAAATCTACGCTATGCAAAAATTTAGGATTCTGAGTTTCACCTTCTAGACTTTTAATTCCCTAGTGTAGTGAGTTTCAGTTCCACTGAAAGCTCGTATAATTTGACCTTGTGTCAGATCAAGTAATAAAGAAACGTGGCGTATTTATATCTCATCCATTTCACAAAAATTACCACGTGACAATTCGTTAATTAAGAGAGTCTAATACTTACAGACGCTTATTTGGCCTTGTGTCTGACTTAGCCAACAAAAACTCGATAAAAAATGTACGAGATACTTGACATACCGAGGTTTGTTGTTTTATAGGTGTTTATTAATCCTAGCCTAGTCTGGTACAAGGCTGTAAGTGCAGGTTATTTAATAAGGTTCGATCTCACTAGTCATTAATAATGGTGTGTTCGACCAACATGCTAAACATTACATAATAATTCAGTGCCAGCATTTACTTACGGTAATTTATTATGGCACAAGAACACAATAGAAAGGTACTCAGAAAATATCTTGCATTATAAAAGAATTGCCAAGAAAGTAAAATGAATCATGGCCTGTAATAAGTAAATTAATTATATATATTATATATTATCCTGCTATTGAATAAATATGATATTCTTGTAATTGCGAAGAAAGATGTTTCACTCAATCGAATCTTGAGTACAATTGAGGCTAAAATATCGAATTTTAGTCGTTCATTTTCGGATTATGCTGTTCGTTAATACTGCATCTAAAAGAGTGAAAAGCAAATTATATTGAAAGGGATTCGTGATATGGACGGCGAATGCCATTCTTACAGTTAAGAGCCATTTCGCTTGCTCTTTTCGTTTCAATGGTCATTCCTCGATGCCTTACTGACCCGCAAGCACGAGCGTTTGATCTGCGCAAGCGTAAAACTTAATGAGACTTGATTTATGCAGCGTCTCACGACTGTAGATTCTGAAGCTGTTCGTCGTGCCTTTTAATTAATAGGACAAGGCAGCTTTGGAATCGTTTCTCAAGATCAAATAAGGTCGACAGAGAGAGAAAAAGAGAGAAAGGGAGAAAGACAGAGAAAGAGAAAGAAAGAAAGAGAAAGTAGGGAAAGATTAATGCGTGTGATATTTTAAGTTTAGATAATAATGGCCGAAGGTTTCATAACAAAACAATATTCCGATTGTGGCATAATCTATTATAACAAACATTGAGCGTGAAATATTTTATAGCGCTATTAGGACACACGTGCATCAATAAATCCGTAGACTATGATGAAGGAAAAAAAACACAAACGTTTATTTTGAACAACAAATATTAATTTCTTGCACAGAAAATATTTATTTTACTACATAATTTAATTTCTTTTCAATGCACTTAGAGATGAATAAGGTTTACATAAATTAATCTTTATTTAATAAAAATCAAAATTCAGCTAATAACTTTCTGTGTCACTATATATATATATATATATATATATATATATATACACACACACACACACATATATATATATATATATATATATATATATATATATATATAAGATAGATAGATAGATAGGTACTCGTTCCAGTAACACTAACCTCTAACTTTCTAACTTCTTTTCTCTCTCCCTCCCCCACACAGACACTTAGGTCAACACCGAGCGGCGACAGTCTGTTTCATTCTTGAATACAATCTTAAAGCCATGTATTTCTTTGTTTCTAGGGTTCTTTAGTTACTCCTCTGTATAATTCTTCTTCGTTATCCACTGATTTTACAATACTTGATATACTATATTGTTTTGCAAACATTTACATTTAAGTCAGATTAGTTTTTTCTCTGCAGTTTACAGGTGTGTTGAACCATATGATTTTTCTTTTTCTATTCGCTTTCTTTGTCCTGTATATTGTGTAGAGTGGGCTATGATAATTTTTTAGCCACCCTTGATTACAGCAATTTTGGCTTCAGAAAATACCGTGTTAGTATCAAGCTACTCTCATCCATGAACAATAGTTGACTTACAATGAAAGTTCACGGAAGTAAGGAAATTGGTGAATTTCAACAAGGGCAAATAATAGGATGGCATCCGTGTAGCAAGTCAAATAGAGAACGGTTAATAATATTGTCAAGAAATTTAATGAAGAAAGTCTTGTGGAACAACGTTCAGATAGACCAAGCATCGTGTCTGAGCGAAGGAAAAGGGCACTGAATAGGCATGTCCTCTGAAACCGTTGTCAGAGCGTCAAAGATATCACCAACATCATGGAAATGTCGCCATGTGCGGTGAGAAAGAATTTGAAAGATCCAGGCTATCAAAGAAGAGTTACAAGAAAGAAGCCGTTGATTTCAGAGGTTAACAATAGCCTTCTTATGAACTGGGCGAGAGAATTCGAGAGCAAAGATTA